CCTCCGCCAAACAACGTGAATACGATCCCGCCAAAGCCCCGCTCTCGCTCCTTCTCCCACTTCTCCTCCCTCTCTTTTTCCCTCTCCCACTCCTCCCTCTCCTTCTCCCGCTCCTTCTCCTGCTCCTCCCGCTGCTCCTCCGCCAAACAACGTGACAAAGATCCCGCCAAAGCCCTGCTCTCGCTCCTTCTCCGACTTCTCCTCCCTCTCTTTTTCCCTCTCCTTCTCCGGCTGTGGAGCGCATCGGTCCGGCACCGCACTTGGCAGCGCGGGACCCTCTCGGCCGCAGGACCAACCTTGCCGCGAACACACAAATGGAGCTTCCTTAGGCCGCTCCGGCCGAATGCGCCAGCCATACCTCTCGCGAGCCCCTACGACAGGATGGGGCTTACGCGAGGCACAACTTACCTCCGCCTTGCGGGAGCAGAGCTGTCACCTCCCTTCGGTGGGCGTATCCCCGCCGAGCTACCAGTCCACTATACGAAAGGTACTCTCGGTTGCAACCGTACGCAAGCGGTCGCAACGATGGCGTACTATGTAGTACCCATACTCACGTGGCCCTTGTTAATCTCGAGGGTCGCGCTCGACACTCAAGTGTTGGCTGACATGCGCCTAGAGGGTTAATCTCTCGACGTCGGATAACCGCCATGTGCGGTTGGAGACCACACCCTCTTCTGCACCCTGTGCAGAGTAGACAACTCTAACCTGTCGTGGCGGTCAAACATCAAGGGGTTTGACTTTGACGGCTGCCACGGACTATAACGTCCAACCATGAAAGCTCAAAAAGGAAAACTCACTCCAACTCACATTAGTTTAGTGGCCTCCTAGACTGGAAGGGGTAGACTGGTGCAAACGACGCGCGCACGGAGGAGGCCTGGTATCCTACCCATAGGCTACCCGATGTTCGGGATAGTGAGGCCCGTACACGGACTCCCATAGGCCGATTGGGACTAGTCCTGTTGCGCGTCCGGACCCAATATAAGATCGCGCGGACGTCGGACTTACACATACCATCTCACTATGCATCTCTACATGAGTATCTGCGATGACGGCGCATTATGTGGTGCCCATACCCAAATGGCCTATTTTGAGCCATGGGGTCATTTTCGACGCTCAGGCGTCAGCTAAAGTGCGCGCTAAGGGGAGGTAACCCTTTAACGGGCGCAAACCCGGCCTGAGGGCTTTACCGCCTTCTGCGCCTTGAGGTGTCCCAGAGGGCGCGAGGTAAGGTGGTCCCTAGGGCAGGAAGGGATTTGGAGCGATGGTGAGTTGTTTGGCGCATCACCTGCTACGCTGACCCTTCCACCCGGAACTTTACCGTTCCACCAAAATAAATCCCAACAAGGAAAGTACCTTCGACTTTTATCGGAAATGAACCTTTTCAGAGTTAGTCCTGGGACCTGGGTCGTCCTGGGCGAGGACCATCGTATTCTAGGCTAAGGGCCAACGTCCGACCACAATTTCTTTAGAAGCGTGTATATAAATAGAGGGGTCATTCCCTCCCTTCTATTCATTCCAACCCTGGCTTAGGTCCTTAGTAGCAGCTCTTCAGGCCACGCTAACACCCCACAGGTACACGTACATACGTACATATAGGGGAATAGATATGTGACGATCACATCTCACAATCACAATGGCACTCCTCATAGCCATACGTATATATAAGGTCGCAGGGCAGCCCAATCCAATAATCCAAGCCCCAGAACATACCTGCAATCACATCGAAGAGTCAAGCAAAAGTCCATACACTACTCGGAGTCAACTCCAACCAATCTCTATGCTCATACCCTTTGCCTCAGCCATGCAAGCCCCAACCTCCAACCAACCAACCTTAAGTAAATACTCAGTACCTTTGTTAAACGGCCGTTCAATAAAAGTCCGGGTGAAACCTTAACAAAACAGAGAAGATCACTAGGGCTGAAGCCTCTTTAGGTTGAGTAAGGAGAGTGGGTTGAGGTTGAGTCGTAAACCGACGAGTCGGCAACCGACCTGTTATCTGTGATAACAGAAGGTGATCCTTGTAGGATGAAGCTGAATCTAGCCCGAGTCCTGAAACAATCGATCAACGAGATTTGTAACACAAGACAGGCCAATTCCAAACTAAGTCTACATGTCTATAGAGGGTAATCTATATATTACGATCCCACTCAAACCATCCTAGTTAACTAGGCCCAAGTCTAGCTCCAGACGAGGCCCAATCAAATGTAGACCTTGGCATAGTCTCTCCTATATACACCGCCACCTCTCGAAATATATTCTAACTCCTCTAAATTAAGAAAAGTTCGGCAGCGCTTCCCGTAGGGAAAGTGGCTTACCAAGATTTACACAAGACAAAGTACGAATCAAAAGATCCCAGAAAATGCAGAAATTGATTGAAGCAAAAAAACACGAGCCCAGAAAGTGCAGGAAATGACTCCTATGGCTCTAGCACGTGGCGAGCAACTACAGCAACTACCTATTAAATCCAAGCTCAGACTAAGAGTGGCATCACTCAGTCACATGCAGGCCAAACCACAAACATGCACTCTCTCACCGTCCCCAGGTTACCTTAGCAAATAATAGCTCGAAGCCTTTCAACGGCATAAGGCTAGACCACCCAAACTTTATGGAACATGTCTAGCCCAGCCAAGAAGTGTACACAAACACATTGGGCATGTGACTAGGCCATCCTAGTCGCCCTGAACAGTTTAAGTAGCCAGAGTTTACATAATTGTCTGCACTTAGTCTTTTGAGGTAGCATATAGCTAAGCCGATCATCTTCAGCGTTACAGGGCGGCGAGACCCAACCCAGCTCCGACCCGTGTCGTCCTAACACCAGCTCGCGGTTCCCCTTCGTACCACAAGCTTATTCTTAGTTAGATACTCTCTCCAGTTGATGATAAGCTATAGTTAGGTCACCCAAACTTATGGAAC